GCTCTAATCATTCAGGTAATGCTCCCTTTATGGGTGTGGGGATATCAGCATCTTCATCGGAGTTGGAAGGGGCCTTGGAGGTCTTCTAGTCCACCCCACCCCCCCGCTCTAGCAGACCCTATACAGTTTGAGACAAGTGGTTCCCCAGTCTCTTCTTGAAAACCTCCAGTGCTGGAGCACCCACAACTTCTGGAGGCAAGCTATGCAATCAGAATAGAACTGGAAGGGACCATGGAGGTCTTCTAGTCCAACCCCCTGCCCAAACGAGAGACCCTCTACCATGCCTGTGTTAGGTTTTTATTTTTTATTTTTAAATGATGCCTAAACGCTGCAGCACTCAGCTTTTTTTTTTCTTTTTTTTTACAAGGCATTGATGTATTCCTAAGATATTTGCTGTGGAGGAAAGAAATAATAGCGTCATCAGTTAAAGAGCAATATTTCTTATCATTCCTGAAAATGGTGCAGACATGTCTCTACAAATGTTGTTTGATTAACAGATTAGTATCCCCAATTAAATCTTGAGGCTGTTTGCACTCATTTCCTGTCTCTTGATGTCTCTCTTTCTTCACCTTTCTTGTCAGTTCTTTGTTTGGATCTACTGATTTGATGAGGTCGCTAATTGGCCTCGTGGGCTAAATGAAGCCTCTGAGGCTACAAACAGAAGGAGGATGCTGTTGCCTTTGTACAGGTAGTCCTTGACTTATGACCACAATTGAGCCCAACATTTTTGTGGCTAAGTGAGACATTTCCTCATTTTACGACCTTTCTCGACATAGCTGTGAAGTGAATCACTGCAGTTGTAAAGTTAGTGACACGGATGTTAAGTGAATCCAGCTTCCCCCGTTGACTTGGCTTGTCAGAAGGTCGTAAAAGGGGATCAGGTGACCCCCAGGACGCTGCGACCGTCATAAGTATGAGTCAGTTGTGCCAAGCATCTGAATTGTAATCACATGACATGGGGGACGTTGCAACAGTCCTAAGTGTAAAAAACGGTCGTAAGTTTACTTTTTTCCGGTAGGTTGTAACTCCGAACGGTCACTAAACGAACCGTTGTAAATTGAGGACTACTTGTATTCTGCTTCTGGATTTTCAAGAAATCTAGCTGATTGTTTCTGGGAACAAAGAATGCTGAATAGCCTCTGTTCTGATCTTAATCGCTGTTGACTTCAATGAGCAGGGTTTATTTATTCATTTGAATTTCATCCTAGCTTGGTTATTGTTGATAAATAACTCAGCTACTTCCTCTTCCTGTTTACCCCACAACAAAAAACTTGTGGGGTGAGTTGGGCTGACAGAGAATGATTGGCCCATGAAAGTCACCCAGCTGGCTTTCATGGCTGAGGCAGGACTAGAACTCAGTCTCTTGTTGATTGGCCCAAAGTCCTCCAGCCAGCTGTGTTGCTTAAAGCAGGACTAGAACTCCCAGTCACCTCGTGATTGGCCCAAACCCGGCTGGCTTTCCTGGCTGAGGCAGGACTAGAACTCCCTGTCTCCTGGTGATTGGCCCAAACCCCACTCAGCTGGCTTTCATGGCTGAGGCAGGACTAGAATTCCCAGTCTCCTGGAGATTGGCCCAAACCCACTCAGCTTTCATGGCTGGGGCAGTACTAGAATTCCCAGTCTCCTGGTGATGGGTCCAAAGTCACCCAGCCGGCTTTCATGCCTAAGGTGGAACTAGAACTCAGAGTCTCCTGTTGATTTAGCCAGCTTTCTTGGCTAAAGGAGGTCTAGAACTCCCAGTCTCCTGGTGATTGGCCCAAACCCCACCCAGCCGGCTTTCATGGCTGAGCCAGGACTAGAACTCCCAGTCTCCTGGTGATGGGTCCAAAGTCACCCAGCCGGCTTTCACGCCTAAGGTGGAACTAGAACTCACCATCTCCTTGTTCCTAGCCAAAAACCAAGATGGGTTTTCATAAAACCGAACGTGCAAAATGAGACACTTCCACTTATTTTCCACCGTCTTAAATAATTTCCCAAAGAACTAATCTTTTTTTTTTCTCTTTGTCTCTTTGGCAGGATCTGCTCATGTCCTTTACTGACGGAGACCAGGACGTCTTCTTTGAACTGTGGGAAGAGCACATCCCTTCCTCGGCCCGAGAGCAGGAAGCCGTGGGTCAGAAACTGGAGTTCTACCTTCACATCCACTTCGGCATCTACCTGCTGAAGCACGCCGTGGGAAAGCCCGTAAATTCCCTTCTCTTAAATCCCCTCTCCTAGGTCCTTTGGAAGGGAGCCCGTCAGAGGGATCAGTTTATCGGATGTGGCCCTTTTTCTAGTTTTCTACTTTTGAGTCCTGGCGTTCATTGACTTAGTTCAGAGGGGACCAACCTTTGGGGAAAAAAGGGGGTTGGACTAGAGCAGGGCTTTTCAACCAGTGGTAGGGGTACCACCTGTGGTACATGGGCACGTGGCAGGTGGTACACGACCATCCTAGAAAAGTGGTAGCGGGGGAGGGGAATGAGCTGAACCGGTGGCAGCACCGCACAAGCCTGAGCGAGAGACGGCTGGAGCTGCAGGGCTGTCAGGGCTCAGCGGAAGCGCCAGGATCAGCGCCAGGATCCAGCTGGAGCTCGGTGCTGATCCTGGCGCTTCCGCTGAGCCCAGAAGAAGCGCCGATCAGCTGGAATGTTGCAGCCTCTCCAGGGTCTTGTGATTTACATTCAGATGCTTGGCAACTGATTCATATTTAGGACGGTCCCAGTGTCCCAGGGTCATGGGAAGGGACCAAAACCTGCTGCAACCACCCAGCAGACGGGGGGGGGAATAAAAACCAAACACCCCCCCACCCCACCCCCACTGCCAATCCTCAACAGAAATGCTCACAACAATGGAAACCTTGGACAGGAGGAAGAGCGCGGCCAGGCGGGCAGGCAGGTGTCTTGCTCGGTTGTGGCTTGGGGGGCACTTTTTTCAGTGCCGTTGTAACTTCAAACAGTCACTAAGTGAATTGTTGTAAGTCGAGGACTACCTGTACTTTATCAATTTTTTCCTTTCTTTTTTGGGGGGGGATCATCAAGTTTTTGACACCTTGCTAGGCGACTAGTGGTACTCGGATGTTACCATATCCTAAAAGTGGTACAATGGATGAAAAGGTTGAAAAGCCTTGGACTAGATGACCTCCAAGGTCCCTTCCAACTTTATTATTATTATTATGTTATTATTATTCATTAGTCATGAACCTCAGTCAACTGAACATTCAAGTTGGCTGGGCTGATGGTTGACACGGGTTGCTACCAGCATCCTAGGTGTCAACCAGGTACCTTCTTAAAATGTAAGATGTTCCGAGTAGCGCAGTTTTTTGTAGCATTGCTGGAGTTATTGCAGGAAGCTGCAGTTTCTTGATGTATTTTGCAAAGTTTTTCAACATAGTTCCCAGTGCCCCAATGACAATGGATACCACTGTTACACGTTTCGTCCATAATTGCACAGTTTCGATGGGCAGGTCGTGATATTTCATAATTTTTTCCAGTTCTTTTTCTTCGACTCTGGCATCTCCTGGTACAGCGATATCAATCAGCTGTACGCTTCGGTTCTCTACAACTGCGATATCTGGCGTGTATTATTATTATTGTTGTTGTTGTTGTTGTTGTTGTTGTTATTATTATTATTATTATTATTATTATTATTATTATAATATCAGGAATTTACTTCCTGGCCTTCTAGAGTAGTAATTCTCATCCTTGGCAAGTTTAAGGTGGGTGGACTTCAACTCCCAGAATCCCCTAGCCAGCTCTCTGCCAGACAGATTTCTCCCCCGTCAGGTCTGTTTCTCTGTGACATGTCACTGTCCTCTTTCGTCCGGATCGGTTCTTCTGTTTTGTGTGATTTTTTTTCCGTGTCTTTAAGTTGTAGGGTAGAAAACGTGCCTTCCCGTCATTCCTTGCTCCTGTGCGGTGCTTCTTTGTGCCTCCTTCGTAAATTTTGTAAAATTTTCCTCCCAATTTTCCTCTGTTGGTGGAAATGCTTTCCCCTCTTGGAGTTTTGCGCTCCACTCTGTCTTTCACAACCTCCGTTGTAAAATTAATCCATCCTACTCTTTCATTGAGAAACTGGAGCGGCGCTTATATATATAATAGCTCCTTTTTTCCTCCAAGAAATGACACACAAAACATACAAAAGATGCTTGAAAAAGACCTTTATTGCCTTGTGCCTCCATTCTAGCATGTGGGTCTAGTTTTTGTTTTTTTTTTAAATGGCAAAGCTTCCTTCCACCTCTCTCGGGCCCAAAGGCCTTAATAAAAGTTTGATTTGATTTGTGGACCCCTCCATCACGGCCCAGCCCAGAAGCCCGACCCGCTTCGGCTTCCTATTTACAGCCCCCTTGAGCGCACAATCCTCTGGTGTGTCTCTTTGAAAGTAGGAAATTAGAAAGGTCTGTTTCTGTTTAGCAGCATGTCGTTTTTCACAATTAATGTCCAACCCTAATGTGTTCAAACCCAGGGCTTGCCTGCAAACTCGAGATTCCAAGCTACCGTTTTGATTTTAATGCTGCCTGCTGGTATGTGGGATGC